CAATTTTGTTTATTTTTTCAAAAAACCAACTCTTGGTTTCATTGATCTGTTCAATTGTTTCTTTGGTCTCTATGTTGTTTATTTCTGCTCTAATTTTTACTATTTCTCTTCTTCTACTGGGTTTAGGGCGTTCTTGTTGCTCTGCCTCTAGTTCCTTTAGGTGAGCTGTTAGATTTTGGACTTGCGCTTTTTCTAATCCCTTGAAGTAGGCCTGGAGAGCAATGTGCATTCCACTTAGGACGCCTTTGCCGCATCCCATAGATTTTGGAGTTCCTCTTTTTGAATCCTGCCCACATCGATTCTTTCCAAGGCTAACTACCTGAAGGAATAGAACAGGAAAGAGATATTTTAAAATGGAATTCATAAGCTCCATCCTGAAACAAGGTACAATCTATGTGTCAACAGGGAGCCTCTTGAGCCTGAGACGAGGGATCCATCGGGCAACAGCTGGCACGCGCTGGGCACTGAGGGGTTCTTGGGCTGGTGGCTGGTGTGACCCATCGCTGGGCACCGAGGGGCTCCTGTGGACAGCAGTCTCCGCTCCCGGGCAGGTCATGTCACACAAGCTGTCCTCAGAACGCTGGGCCTTCTCAGTGCTGTTCTGTGGCCTCCATCACATGGGCTCTGCCAGGTGTCCGTGGCCTGTGGCTCCTCTCTTTGTACTATGGACTCTGTGCTATATCAGTTTCCCTAGCTTCACTAAAATGGAAGTTTCCATTAAAACAATTGTACATTTGCATCTCCAAAAATTCTGGGAAAGTGAGGGGCAAGTGCTGTGTGTGGGGTTCCCGGACAGGTCGGAGGGTCCTGTGAGCCTCTACCACACCCATGTGATCCTGGGACTCGAGCTGCTTCCTCGCCTTCTCCAGCGAGCTCTGTGTCTCCAGGGAGGACCTGTATCCAATGCCTGGCCCGGCTCTCGGGCCTCTGGTCCAACCCGCTCCGGGCCCCGCCCCCACCCCTGGCAGGTGCAGCCCTCGGGGGGCAGGGGAACCCTCTGAAGCACCTCGGCCATTGTTCCCGGGGTCCAGCTCATCTGCTGCACCCCCCGGCTCCGGACCCCGCCCACAGTGGCCTGTGTGTCCCTGAGCTCTGTCTGCACCAATGCTAATCCTTCACCAAACTGGCCACATTCGTGCCTCTCTCCACCCTTTGCTGCTGCCTTTGGGGTTGGTTAGTAAAATAATATTTTTAGTCTTTCATTTGTGCCCCTCTGTTGGCATCGCAGCTCCTTCTGCTGATGGTTGGTGACGGCTGTACACACGTACCGTGTTCCCATCTCCCACACATGCACATGCCCCTCACAGCAGGCTCTACGTTTTACTTAAAATGGGTATGTCTTTCCCATCAGACCTTCCAACTATCCACTGGTTGGATAAAGTTTGTCTTCAGTCAAATAAGTAATTTTATTTCCAACAGTCTGTATTATCCATATTGAATATTGACTGTATGTGTGTGTATATTCGTACATAGATTTTCCTTATTCAGCATAATAGAGACTCTCGAAAAATTACACTTTTTATACTTAAATATTAATATGTCTTACATATGGATTTACTCCATAAGAAAGAACTGAAAGGGGTTAGACCCCCAAGTTCACACACACGGAAAATATATTTGAATGCCTGTGTTTTGGGTCATAAAATTTTTGAGTCATATTTTCTCTCCAACAGAGTTTTTTTGGGCATAAATAAACTTTCATTTTCTTTTGAGAAACCAGGTCAGATTGGTTCCCTTCTTATCAATGATCTGATCTCCTTTTGCTTATTTTGAGGTTTTCAATTGCAAAATGAACAAACCTTTTAGAATTTATAATGTTTATTTTTTTTATTTGCTTCATATTTTAATGACTACTTTTTTTTAGTGTGGAAAAGACAAAGGTTGCATGGGTATAAACTGGTAGAGACTTTTTTGGGTGACAATCTGGCCATACTGATAAACACCCTTAAAATATTCATACTCCCTGTCTACACATCTCAATATTTGGAAATTGATTCTAAGTATCAGACAATTACAGATGGATGTTGCAGATGAAGGTTTTTATCATAATGTTATTCAAAAGGGAAAAGAGATAACATGTAATTTAACCTTCCATTTCAGTGGTTAAATATTAAATGGCGACATAAAATTTGGTAGAGTTATATACTAAACTGTAATGTAGCGATTTAAAATGAAGAGTTTTTTTTTCCAAATAGTTTATTGTCAAGTTGGTTTCCATATAACACCCAGTGCTCACCCCCACAAGCGCCCTCCTCCATCCCCATCCCCCCTCCCCCCCACACCCATCAGTCCTCAGTTTGTTCTCAGCATTCAAGAGTCTCTCATGGTTTGCCTTTCTCCCTCTCCCTCACTATTTTTTCCCTTCTTCTCCCCCATAGTCCTCCGTTAAGTTCCTCATAATCCTTCTATACGTGCAAACATATGATATTTGTCCTTCTCTGCCTGATTTATTTCTCTCAGCATAACACTCTCAAGGTCCATCCATGTTGCTACACAGGCCAGATTTCATTGTTTCTCATTGCCATGTAGTATTCCATGGTATAGATAAACCACATCTTCTTGATCCATTCGTCCATTGATGGACACTTAGCCTCTTTCTATGTTTTGGCTTTTGCTGAGAGTGCTGCTATGAACACTGTGGTAGATATGGCCCTGTGCATCAGCACTCCTATATCCTTTGGGTAAATTCCTAGCAGCACTATTGCTGGGTCCTATGGGAGTTCTATTGTTAATTTTTTGAGGAACCTCCACACTGTTTTCCAGAGGGGCTGCACCAGTTTACATTCCCACCAACAGTGTAGGAGGGTGCCCGTTTCTTCACATCCTTGCCAGCATCTAGAGTCCTCTGACTTGCTCATTTTAGCCACTCTGACTGGCATGAGGTGGTATCTCAGTGTGGTTTTGATTTGTATTTCTCTGATGAGGAGGGGTGTTGAGCATCATTTCACGTGTCTGTTGGCCATCTGGATGTCCTCTTTGGAGAAGTGTCTGTTCATATCTTCTGCCCATTTCTTCACTGGGTTGTTTGTTTTTTGGGTGTGGAGTTTGGTGAGTTCCTTATGGATTTTGGATATTAACCCTTTATCTGATATGTCATTTGCAACTATCTTTTCCCATTCCGTCAGTTGCCTATTAGTTTTATGGATTGTTTCTTTTGCCGTGAATTTTTATACACCAATAATGAAGCAACAGAAAGAGAAATCAAGAAACTGATCCCATTCATAATTGCACAAAAAACCATAAAATACTTAAGAATAAACCTAACCAAAAATACAAGAGATCTGTATGATGAAAACTATAGAAAACTTATGAAGGAAATTGAAGAAGACACAAAGAAATGGAAAAACATTCCATGCTCATGGATTGGAAGAATAAATATTGTTAAAATGTCATTACTACCCAAAGCAATCTACACATTCAATGCAATCCCAATCAAAATTGCACCAGCATACTTCTCAAAACTAGAACAAATTAGGGGCGCCTGGGTGGCCTAGTCAGTTAAGCGTCCGACTTTCGCTTGGGTCATGATCTCACGGTTCGTGGGTCGGGCTCTGTGCTGACTGCCAGCTCAGAGCTTGGAGCCTGTTTCAGTCTGTGACTCCCTCTTTCTCTGACCCTCCCCTGCTCACGCTGTCTCTCTCTCTCTCTCTCCTAGAAATAAATAATAATAAAAAAACATTTAACAAAAAACTAGAACAAATTATCCTAAAATTTGTATGGAACCACAAAAGACCCCGAATAGCCAAAGTAATACTGAAGAATAAAACCAAAATGGGAGGCATCACCATCCCAGACTAGCCTCTACTACAAAGCTGTCATCATCAAGACAGTATGGTATTGGCACAAAAACAGACACATAGACCAATGGAATAGAATTGAGAATTCAGAATTGGACCCAAAAATATATAGCCAGCTAATCTTTGACAAAGCAGGAAAGAGTATCCAATGGAAAAAAGACAGCCTCTTTAACAGATGGTGCTGGGAGAACTGGACAGCAACATGCAGAAGAATGAAACTAGATCATTTTATAACACCATACACAAAAATAAACTCAAAATGGATAAAGGACCTGAAAATGAGACAGGAAACCATCAAAACCCTAGAGGAGAAAGCAGGAAACGACCTCCTTGACCTCAACTGTAGCAATTTCTTACTTGACACATCCCCTAAAGCAAAAGAATCAAGAGCAAAAACAAACTATTGGGACCTCATCAAGATTAAAAGCTTCTGGGGGCGCCTGGGTGGCTCAGTCAGTTAAGTGTCCGACTTTGGCTCAGGTCAAGATCTCACAGTTTATGGGTTCGAGCCCCGCATCAGGCTCTGTGCTGACAGCTCAGAGCCTGGAGCCTGCTTCCAAATCTGTGTCTCCCTCTTTCTCTGACCCTCCCCTGCTCATGCTGTCTCTCTCACAGAAATAATAAAACATTAAAAAATATTAAAAGCTTCTGTTTATTTTTGAAAGAGAGAGAAACAGAGTGCAAGCGGGGAGGGGGAGGGACAGGGAGGGAAAAGGGGCATAGAGAAAGAGGGAGACACAGAATCCAAACCAGGTTCCAGACTTTGAGCTGTCAGCACAGAGCCTGACATGGGGCTCGAACCCACACACCGTGAGATTCATTATCTGAGCCAAAGTCAGATGCTTAACCGACTGAGCCAGCCAGGCACCCCTCCTGCCTTTTAGAATTTCTAAAACAGGGGCACCTGGGTGGCTTAGTCAGTTAAGCGTCCGACTTCGGCTCTGGTCATGATCTCACATTTCATGGGTTCGAGCCCCGTGTCGGGCTCTGTGCTGACAGTATCTCCTTCTCTCTCTGACCCTCCCCTGCTCATGCTCTCTCTCTCTCTCAGAAAGAAACAAAACATTTTTAAAAATTAAAAAGAAAAAAGAATTTGACTGGAGGAACTTAACAGAGGACCAACCGGGAGAAGAAGGGGGGAAATGGTGGGGTAAAGGGAGGGAGGCAAACCATGAGAGACTCTTGAATGCTGACAAAAACTGAGGACTGATGGATGTGGGGGGGAGGAGGGATGGGCATGGAGGAGGGCACTTGTGGGGATGAGCACTGGGTGTTATGTGGAAACTAATTTGACAATAAACTATTTGTAAAAAAAAAAAAGAAAAAAAAAAGAAAAAAGAAAAAAGAAATAAATAAAACATTAAAAATTTTTATTTAAAAAAAAAGAAAGAAAAAAGAATTTCTAAAAGAAAGAAGAGTTTACTGGATCTAAGTGAGGCAGCTGCTGGGACCCACACTCGCTCAGGAAGCAGACTTTAGTGTGGGGGATTCTCACATGAAGAATTATAGATCTTCATGACGAAAAACATTCCAGAAAGTCACAGACTCATGTCCTGTTTTCACCAGGCTCCAAACTTATGGGAACGTGGAGAGGTCTTACTCTTATCTTTCTGTTTGCAGTGTTTCCTGCAGGTTATTTGTTGCTGAAGCAGATGTACAGCGTGTGCTCGGGGCAGAGAAGTAGCCCTTGCTGGGAAGTCTGGTCTGGTCGTTCTCACCTTGGTCACAGAGACTTCCTGGGCACTCAGGAAGAGCCTTAAAGCTGAATACCTCCTGTATTTTATTGAGCCCAGTAACTTTATTGACTGTTCTGGTTTGTTTTTTTCCTGAGATATTTAAGAATGTTCTAGAACACTGTTTCGAACCGTCCAGATGGTTGTTTCAAGGCTCCAGACTGCCTCTCCCTGCAACTAGCCAATGGTGGACTGCAGTGAGGGCCAGACCCCAGGATCCCAAGGTGTGAGAATCTGTGAAGGGTGGTGACAGACATCCTCTGGCCTCTGGTGTTGAGGAGGTGCGACCCCTGAGGTTTCCATGCAGGCGACCCACAGGGTGGCTCTGACTCCACGGAGGAGCCTTCTGGGTGGAGGGACCCCACTACAAGGCCTAGTCAGAGCCAGCGTGGTGTGGCCAGTGTGGCCTCGGGAGTGACCGTGGGGTTTCTCTGAGGATTTCCAGCAGATGAACAGGGTTGGGGAGGGTCCAGAGAACGTCTTGGAAGGCCCACCATTGCCACCCTGGGCTGTGGGGTGCACGGGGAGGCGTGGGGTGGACAGGCGGGCCGTGGGCCCCAACCAGGCCATGCACAGTGGGCTGTGTGGTGCCCTCGGAGTGTGTAGGGCTTCACGGTGGAGCCTGCAGGGTTGGGGGGGGTTAGACATGAGGAGTGGGACAGAGCAACCGTGAGTGTGGGCGGCCACAGAGATGGAGCAGGGAGTGCTCAGGGACCAGCAAGCTCTGGGGAGCTTCCAGTGCCCAGGTGGCGTGTGGCTGTCTGGTCCACCCAGGGCCAGGACCATCGGCGAGTAAATGGCGTTTGAGCCGGAGGACCAGCGGGGGTTGTCGAGGGACGTATGCAGGGGGGTCAGGGGGGTTAGGACAGGACAAGTGCCGTCCCGGGGGCTTGGTCGGCAGCTGGGGGAGGGCGGTAAACGGCCACCGGCCACGGAGGAGAGGCCAGACTGCAGATACCTCCGCGGCCAGGAACGTGCCCAAAGATGAGGAGGCAGGAGGGAGCCACTTGTCTGCAGTTCACGGGCTTGGGTGTCCCGGAGCCATTAACCAAACCCAACTTATCTGGGACCCGACTTTGATTCCTCTGGTTCGAATGGTCTCCATGCTTTCAAACCATTTATTCTGAGAAACTCGATAAGTTTCCCTTAGGAAGACATCCAGTGAGTGTTTAAAAGTGACAGGCACACCAGGTGTGGAGAGCTGAGTCGATGCACATAATTATACGTGCAAAGAGACTGGCTAAGGAAGAGCCGGGCCCAAGGCCAGCCTTGGACACCAGTGTGCGTTTGGAGAGCTGGAAAGCGGTTCTCGGTTAGCAGGTCTTGAGGGGCTCCCACTCACATGCATTGGCCAAAAGCCTCAACATCCTCACTCTGGATGCTCTGGGAATTGGTGCTATCAGACTGGCTGCCACAGAGGACACAGGAAGGATGTCCCCAGGCCTCTGGCACTTCACAGGAATATGCTGGAACAAGGAAACAGCGCGAGAATCTCCAACTGCATCGAGGGACAGAGACGTCCATTTTGTATCTATTAAATGTAGGTAATATCTGTCTAATTAGCCCTATTGTAGGGGCACCTGGGTGACTCGGTTGGCTAAGTGTCTGACTTAGGCTCAGGTCATGATCTTGCGGTTCGTTCATGAGTTCAAGCTCCACATCAGTCTGTGCTGACAACTCAGAGCCTGGAACCTGCTTCAGATTCTGTGTCTCCTTCTCTCTGCCCTTGCCGCCCATAAATTTAAAAAACATTTAATAAATTAACTGGCCCTATTGTAGTTACATTCTCCTTTTACAAAATCTTGCATCTATGCATCTAGCCTACAAAGTGTGAAAAAAGCTCTAGAGAGTTGAAGAAAAGAGTTTGAATGATTCGCCATCAGAGGACAGAAAAGACATTTGAAAAATACAGTTAGGTGTTTCCACACACACCACATAAGTAGTTCTCTTACCAACCAGTCTTAAATGCAAATAGTCCTGTTTGTTGAGGTAACAGCATTCATGCAACAGAAAAGAAAATAGCACCATATAATCTGTAAGTTCAAATAAACATCCGTTCTTCTTTTTCTGTGATGGTGAACACAGGTCTGTGTGCACCTCTGCGCTACCTGTCCCAGCATGGCGCCATCTTTTGTTTGGTGTGACTATGTCCTCGTTGGCTGCCTGTGAGGACAGTCTCCCTGGGGACCCGCAAGCACGCAAGCAGGTGGGGGGGCAGCCTTTTCTAGTGTTCTGATCAAATTAGCAGAGGACCTCAGCTGGGGAAGCAGGTAGGGAGGCGGCCTCAGACTGGGGAGATGGGATGGGACCCACAGCATAGTCCCAGTGGGGGTGGTAGCTGGGACGCTCCTGCACCGGGACCAGTCAGGATGGGTGTAATAGAAGCCCTGCTGCACCAGCTTAATCCTCCCGTGTGAGAACAGAGGAATCTCTCAACACCACCGGGGGCCAAGTTTCCATGTATATTTTTGGCCTGCTGTCTTCAGTAGGTGGGCAAAGGAGCTGCTCACCTCTGGGCATCGCATCTGTATCCTATGATAGGCAGACAGCAAATGGCAAAGTACACTCTGGAAGCTCCCTTCTTCCCAAGTACCTCTCACTGGCTGCTGTGGATCCTGTGGCCACCCAGCTGCACAAGAGACTGGGCTGTACCAGGAAGTTGAGGGAGGAATGGCTATCAGCTGGGTGCTGGGGTGGCCTGCCCCGTGCAGACCACATGGTAAGGTTCTGTAGAAGCTAAGCCCAACAGCCTGCAGCCCCCTTAGCATGTGGCCACCAATTCAAAATGGTACCAGGGAGCATTGGGGTCATGACCCCTATGTGACCAGGCCTGGCCATGGAGAGTTGGGCTCACCTCCTGGGTGGTGGGAACCTCTGTGGATTGAGGTCCTGGGTGCTGTGCCAGTGAGCTGAAGAGTCCTGAGAGGTCCCTGCAGGTGAGAGTAGGGGAGAGCAGCAACTGCCTCAGGAAGGGTGACCGTGGTGAATCTGTGGGCCACCCTGAGGCTCCTGGGCTCAAGGATCGGAGAGGAGAGTGTCCAGGGGTGGGGGTCACTGTAAGGGCCTTCTCAGTGGTCAGTCTTGTGGGGCTGGGGAGTGAGATCTGGGGACTGTCGACTTCTGGAGGGTACGGGGAACGGGGCAGCCTCTTTCCTGGCCGCCAGTAGAGCAGTGCTCCCTGGCAAGGGTGTGTCCTCATCCAGGACTGCATGGGGGTCCCTGGGACGTGCCCCCAGGTCAGCTGCATCTGGGTCTGTGGATGGAGGGAGGGAGGTCTGCGTGCAGAACCTTGAGGGCACTGACCTTCGGGGCCTTCGTCCCCTGCCGGGGGCAGGACCGCCATCTTGTCGGTGTCCTACCCTGCTGGGGGCTCCGCGCTGAGGGTGCTCCTCAGGGCTTGGACTTTGCCCATCTGGGTCCTTGTGTGCCCCGTGCCCCTCCATCACCATCCGGGACCAGGGCTCCTGGCCACGGTGCAGCCCAGCCCTGTCTCGGGCTCCAGCTCGCTCCTGAGCCCTGCTGCAGGTCTCCAGGGGCCTCAGACTCCCGAGGCTGCCCCATCTGAGGCCCCCCGTCCTCCCAGGGGCACCCTGGCTAGCCCCTGGGTGCCCACCGCCAAGTTCTGGATGCTTCTCCTCTCCAACTGCAGCTAGAGTGCCCAGGCCTCCAGGAAGGGGCCCCGACTGACCCACACAGCGTCAACTGCACATGTGCAGATGTCTGCATACTCCCAGGGCTGCGTATGCCCGCTGTGCTGACATCCCAGGGCCTGGCTGAGTTCCCGGGATGATGAGTGAGTGAGTGAGTGAAGGGTTGTGGTGCTGGGAGTGAAGGAAGAAACACAGAGTTGACCAGAGGAGAGAAATTGCTGGGAAACCCATGGAGGGAATTCCAGCTTTAAGGTAAAGTACTTGAAAACCTCCCAGGCCTGAGTGCAGGGAGGGGTATGGAGGAGTGGGGCTGGGCGGGAAGGGGAGGCAGGAGGGGGTGTGCTGCCTGGAGCTTATCTGCTTCCTGCCTGGGGCGTGTGGTGCCGAGCCCCGGGCACCGTGCGGGAACAGGGTGCCTGGAGCCCCGCTGGCTGTGCACCCACGACCGGTGCTGGCCATGGGGCCCTGTGGGACGAGCCTCCA